CCCCCTCCAGGTCTATTCCCTGATGTGGGTGGTGGTCACTTCCTGCCACAGCTAGAGGGGAAGCTGGGAATCTACCTTGCCTTGACTGGCGTCAGGCTGCGCGGCCGAGACATCAGCACTGTGGGCATCGCCACACACTTTGTGGAATCCTCAAAGGTTAGTCTTCTGATTAGCTGTGTGTGTGTGTGTGTGTGTGTGTGTGTGTGAATGTTTGAGAAAGAGAGAAACAGAGATTGTGAGTCTGTTGACATGTGCGTGTGCATGTATGTATTCACCATGCTGCTGCAACTTTCTCTTTGTGGAGATCAATAAATTGTTATCTTGTCTTACCTTATCTTAGAAGGGTTTTTACACCGCTTCCAACTTTTTGTAAATTTGAAAAATTAGTTCTTCGAGCCCGTATGCAGTGGCACCTCTCTATAGCAGTCACCTGTACTGTAGGCCACTGTTCTGTGACACCCTTACATTTTCCCTATATTTTTTACCTGTCCATAGTTACCCTTGTTCAAGACATCCACCAGTCTAAGACAACCACTTTTCTCCTTGACAATGAGTTGCTGTCTTGGACAATTTTGACTCTTTGTATAATTACAATCAAACCTACTCTAACAGCCACCCAGCCACCTGTAAATGACAAAATTACCTGTACAAACAACCTCTCCCCGTTTTTTCCCTTGCGTTTTTTTGTTCCAATAAAATGACACAGTGGAAGATACCTACCTGACAAATATGTACACTTTTCCCCTCGACAGTGGGTGGCTATTTTGGACAATTTGGACTGTTTATGTGAGCGGTGCTGACGAAATGTGTTACTTCTCACAATCTGTGATTAGAGATATTGGCGGAAAATTAACACAGCGGTTGAATTTGTAGATTGTCAGCTAATACAATTTTCTCCAAGTTTAACTTGTCTTTTAGCATTAATTCATACTGATAAATTGTACAAAATCAGACTATAAATTTGACGTACCTATTTCCATAAGGTCAAAATCCGAAAAGTTACTAATTTTGTCGGCATGCCTCACATACGATTATACCACTGACCTCTAACTTCATTAAATCTGTCGGCAGCTAGAGGAACTGCAAGACAAGCTGTCTTCTCTCTCCTCATCGGTGGGCAAAGAAGATGTAGCTGCCGTGCTCAACGACTTCCAAAACCAGGTACAGAATTCTCACTGACATATAACACAGTTGACCATGACGATCTTTAGTCATCTCGTAGGGAGAAATTACGCTACCTTAGAAAGTCACAAAGTTCTGTTTGACATTTTTGGCCTTTTTGTCTGCCTAAGACCATGAGATAAAAAATCTAATGCTATATCTTCTCTATCACAATTGTAAGATTATTTGGAATCAGGATATTCAAAGAACTGCATTCGAAATAGCTTGACATGTTGGGGAACTCGGGATCTGTGACATCAAAATTCCCAAAACTAGGAACTGAGCAGATAAAACTTTGTAACTCTGAGGTAGGGATTTGTCTTGGTCGTTTACAATGACTTTGAAAGGCGAGGTGCTCTCACGCTTAAGGGGGTATTACATGTTCTGTTAATTAAAACTGACAGTTGTCCGTCCTCTTTGTCGTAAGAAAATAATACACAATGCAATCTTTTTTGTGATCTTCAAAATACATCAAGAAAAAGAGTCGCCCGCAAGTCATATTGTTATTTTCGATACTCTGGTTCCAATTTTTCAGTTGGACGTAGTTTTCAGTAAGTTTAAAAACAAGAATCTTGCCTCCTGCGCATGACCGACAGCCCTGCAGCCAGCTGGTCTGCCATGCCTGAGGTCTGCTGAGGATTAAGTTTCCTTTTCGACTTATTGAAAGCTGTGTCCGATTATATTGTACTGCAAAAGGTTCAGAAGTGAGTTTAGATTGAATGAAATACACATAAAGAACAGTTCCTTGGCAATTTATATTTTTATTCTGCCGGTGATTCTCAAATTTGACATAGTTTTTGCACTTTTCATGTAGGACTGGTTTGTATTATAGTCATGAATTACAATTTGATTGATATTTTGACCCAGAAGTTTACTTAATCTGATTTTACATTTATTTCTCTTTCCTGCAAGGTAAAAGGCAATTGTATTTAATTTGACAAGAAACTAGATACACAAAATTTGAAGGTTTTGTTTGTGCAATTATGACATGATTAAAGACACTTTTATCGTGAAGAAAATGGCATCGGTCAAAAATCTACAATTTGATGTGTCCATTTTCGGCAGATATTTCCATTCGCTGATAGCGCTAAGTCACTCATTTGTCAGTACATCTTTACAAATTAAGCAAAAAAGTTTTTTGTTTTATTCTTGGAAATAAAGAAGAGAAATGTGTGTGTTTGTTGCCTGTGTCTACAGTCCCAGCTAGATGTGGACAAAGAATTCTCTCTCAAGCCAAACATGGAAAAGATAAACCGTCTGTTTGCCGGGGACTCCATGGAGGCCATCTTTGCCGCGTTGGAAAAGGACGGCTCTGATTGGTCGATTGCTCAGCTAGACACGCTCAAGAAAATGGTGAGCACAATTATTGAAGCTCTCTCTTTGTCTGTCTCTGTCTGTCTGTTTCTTTCTCTCTCTGTATCTGCATCAGTCTGGTCTTTCCTTCTGTCTCTGTCTCTATCACTATATCTCTCTGTCTCTATCTCTGTATCTCTCTGTCTCTGTCTCTCTCTCTTCCTTTCTCTCTCTCTACCTCTCTCTCTGTCTGTCTCTCTTTCGCGCTCTCTCTTTCTTTCTCTCTCTCTCTCTTTTTCTTTTTCTTTCTCTCCCTTTGTCTCTCCTTCTGTCTTTGCCTCTGTTGGTCTCTGATGTGGGATGGTCCTTCTTTCCTATCGAACATCATTCATCCTTATCACCCCTCCATCTTTTCGTAGTTACTCTCGTAACACTTCTAATCTTCAGCACTTATATGATCTTTCTGTTTTGCAAGTACCATTTATAACTGTACTTTTATGTATTTGTAGCCATCCTATATTTTTGTTTATTTGTAGCTGTTTTATATCTCTTGGTTTTCTTTACAGTCTCTGGCATCTTTGTTTATTTGTAGCCATCTTTTTTTATTGACTGTTTCCATCACTTTTGTTCATTTCTAGCCGTCCTATTATATATTATATTTTACACAGTCTTCAATGTCTCTCTTTATTTGTAGCCTCCTATATCTTTATTAATTGACAGTCTCCAATGTCTTTGTTTATTTGTAGCCATCCTATTGTCTATTTAATTTTGTAGCCGGTGCTATATCTTTCTTTATTTGTAGCGGTCCTACATCATTGTCATCTTGTGGCTGTGGGTGGTTGGCGGGTGCTCTGGTGTGGTCTGCTTCTTCTTCCCTATCAGACATCTTTCGTCCTCATCTCCCCTCCTTCTTTTTTATGTTTGTTACTCTCTTGTAACACCTCTAATCTTGTGGCGCTCATATGACCTTATGCTGTTGCGAGCGCCGTAAAACCTCTACTAAAACTTTAAAAAAGCTTGTAGCTGGTGCTATGTCTTTGTTTATTATAAGCTGATATATCTTTGTTGACAGTCGCCGACATCGATGAAGATCACCCTGCGACTGCTCCTGGAGGGCAAAGGTCGGTCACTGGCTGAGGACCTTCAGGTTGAGTACAGGCTGAGCCAGAGATGTGTGGAGGACCGCGACTTCTACGAGGGAGTGCGAGCAGGTGAAGGACACACACACACACTCACACACACACACACGCATACACACACACACGTGTACATAGACACACACACACCTACACACACACATACACACACATGCTCACACACATACACATACATACACACATGCACACGCACACACACACACACACACACACACTCACATGTACATGCATGCACACACACACACACACACACACACACACACACACACACACACACACACACACACACACATGTACATAGACACACACACACACACACACACACACACACACACATGTACATAGACACACACACACACACACACACACATATACACACATATACACATGCATATGCTTGCACACACTCACATATATACACTTGCATACATGAAATGAACACACACACACATATATACACACTCATACACGAACACACACACACACACACACGTACGCACACACACTCGTATGCACAAACACACTCATACATGTACACACACACAAATACAGATGTGAATACACACACACACACACACACACACACACACACACACACACACACACAAACACACACACATACACACCTACATATGTATGTATACTCACCAACACACCCACAATAACACACACACACACACACACATACTCACACTCACACTCACACACACACACTTGTATACACACACACACACACATACTCACACTCACACACACACACACACACACACGCCCACATATCAACAGACAGTTCAGTGTAGAAAGTGCTAAAAACCAATTGCAGCAAAAAGAGAAGTAAAACATGATCACTTTTTTATTCTATTTATTTTATTTTTTTCAATTTTGTGTTTTCCCCCACAGTTCTCATTGACAAAGACAACAGTCCCCAGTGGAACCCGGCAAGCATCAAGGACGTAGCTGCCAGTAAAGTGGACTGGTACTTCTCTCCCTTGGATGCCAAGAGGGAGCTGGTGTTGTGATGACAACAGTGTGTCATGTGCTAGTTTGTTTGTTTGTTTGTTGGTCATCTCTCTGCCAGACCTGGTGTTGTGATGACGACAATGTGTCATGTGCTAGTTTGTTTGTTTGTCCGTCATCTCTCTCTCTGAAAGATGATTTTGTGATGTTGACAGTGTGTCATTTACATGTTTGCTTGTTAGTCATCTCTTTGCCATATATATATATATATATATATATATATATATATATATATATATATATATATATATATATATATAAAACAAATAATTATTGGACATGGTTGTTTACAATGATATTATGAGTGTGTTCATGTAACTGTGATTGATTTGATTAAGTCTTGATTAACATGTATCCAGAAATTCGTTTTAGAAGAGCCTCTTCTCACAGTTATGGCACAATCATCTAAGTCATTTTAGACCCAAGTTCAATTCCTATGTGGAGAGAGTTTTTGTGAAGTGCCTCATTCTTTCTGCAGGGATGTTGTTGGCCCTTAGAAGCAAGTTCGAAGCCTGCCTCCAAAATGATCTAAATTGTGTTAATGAGGAACATAAAATCATGTTCATTTAATTTTGATACCTAAGTCAACTTTATGAAAGTTTATGACTTGAGAGAAAGTGAAAATGTCTCAATCATTGTATTTTCATTTTCAGTACACAAAACAAAAAACTCTGCTTGTTTAGGAGATGAAACAGGACACTGACATTTTTATTATACCAATATCTAGACCTTTTTTTTTGGGGGGGGGGGGGGGATGACTTGGGGTTATTGTGTTATGGCCATGGGGATATGGGGTGTGCAAAAGAGACCCTTTGATTTGTGGAGTAGTGAATGTGAAGCAGAGTTTTTGTATAGTGAAAACTGAAATCCGAGGGTGCATGTGTCGGGGGGGGAGGGGCTTATACCGATGATGTTTTGTTGCTTGTGATGGGATTTTATAAGATTGGGGAGGGGATTTCTGCTTTTCATTTTCATCTGTTATAGAATTGAGGAGGGTGAAAGAGGTAGATATTGATATAATTGAGGGAAAACTAGTTTGATTTTTAGGGGTTATTTTTTGTTTGTTTAGGCTTTAAGTTCTTTCGCAAACAGTATTTTTTGATGGGTTCCCTAATGTGGTTTGCTTCTTCTTTCCAGTCAAACATCTGTCATCTTTATCTCTCCACCAGTCTTTTTTTTGTATTACTCTCTCAGCAACACCTCTTATCTTCAGGACTTATGTGACTCTTTCGTGTTGCAAGTGCCGAACAACTCTGACAATACTAAACTTAACAGTGTGCAGTTGTCACTCTGAAGGTTTTCCTTTGCTCAATGTGGTAAGCAAATGGTCCTACTTTTAAAGGTTTGTTACTGTGCTGATTTTTTTTCTCTTTTCTCAAACAACCGAACAAACGAGATACAGGGTAGAGTACTATATTTTTAATTTTAATGTAATAGATACTGTATAGCTTCATGTAAAGGTCACATGTGCAGATGAGAGGCTGGAAGACCTGAGAATCTAGTTTTTTTAAAATATAAATGAAATGTATATTGGATAATTGGGCACACCAACTTTTTCGTGGTGAGCACCATCAGTTTTGTTACTAGTAGTGGATTTTTCTTTGATGACACACTTCAAAATAAAACAAATCAAACTTTTACTTCAGCTGTCTTAGATCTAGATCTACAGCTCAATAAGGATCAGCCGTCATGTTTTAACAGGGCTGCCTAGATTTCTACCTATTTATCTGGTATTTACTGATTTTGGACTTGGACTTGTTCTACCGCCGTACTGGTAAAAATGCCTCAAGTACCGAATTGACTATAGGACCTGAGAGGGTGTCAGTGGTAGGTTATATTTCTGTCCCTTTCTGTCTGTTGTTTCTGTCTGTGGTAGTTCGAGGGGAAGCTCAACAGTTCAGCTCTTAACTTTCACTGTGGGCGATTGGCGCGTGCTGTTGTGTAGTTAGCTCCTTCTTTCCTTCTTTCCAATTAAACATTGATCTTCTTATCTATCTCTCATTGATCTTCTTATCTATCTGTCCTTCTTTTCTTAATATATTACTCTCGGGTAACATCCTTATCTTCAGCACTTCTATGACCTATTTGTGTTGCAAGTGCCATACAATTTTTATAAATTATTTGTGCTGCAAATGGCGTAAATCTCTTATTAAATGTGAACTAAAATGAACCTTTCACTTTCCATGACAGGGAATTTTCTCACAGTTTGTTGTACAAAAGTTGTCGGCCATGACAGTACGGGTAAACATTGTTCGCGCTTTCCATAATTTCCAAACTTTTAGCTTGTTCACATGTGCAGGAAAGCGACTGGTTGGAGGGCACCACTGGTAGGTCCTTCTTCTTTACTTTCCCTGTCTTGTTTCTGTGTATCGTCTTTTTTTTTCTCAGCATTACATGAGCATTATAGTCTAGTGTCGATGTGCTTCTCTTTACTCAAACTACAAACAAGCAGGAAATGAACAGACTGAATTACCTACTCCTGACAAAAATTCGGGAAGTTTCTGCTGTGAGTAGTGTGAGCGACGCGCAGTGTAAGGCAGATAGATTACCTTGTTTTTCCGAAGTCCCAACTTTTTAATGATCTGTTTTGTTGGAGGAGAGAAACGTGCCATTATTGATTCGAGAAAGAAGAAGATGTGAGTTTGATTCCCCTGTGGGTAGAATAAGAGTTTGCCTTAAGTATCTCGGTCGATTCTGCTGGAATGTGGTTGTGTACCGTACTTCTCTCTCAACCCAGTTTGTCCCTGACAGGCAGGGTCAGAGCCCACCTCCTTGTTAAATCATCTTAATTGTGTGGATATGGGCGTAAAATAATACATAAAAATATATTTGTTTTGTTGGAAGTAAAGTTTTGTTCTTGGAACTCTTGGAATGAAAGACTTGTGAAAGAGGAGGTGTATAGGTGGTTGGCGGGTGCTCTGGTGTGGTTTGCTTCTTTTCTTTCAAACGTCTATCGTCATTATCGGGTCTACCCTCCTTTTTTTGCGTTTGTTACTCTCTTGTAACAACTCTAATCTTCGGCACTTATATGACCTTATTGTGTTGCAAGTGCCGTAAAACACCTACGAAAACAAAGAGGAGGTGATGGTGTATGTTTAAGCAGATTAGAATGTATGTAGGTCAGTGGTGGGTGTCCTAATCAGAACCTGGCATCTCTTCACATGTATTTGACTCGCTGAAGACTACAGAGGAAAAAGCCACGTTGTCACAAGCTTCCAGTCTCTTCCGTGCCTCTTTTGATCATTTATTGTCTAGCTCACCCCGTGTGTTTTCTTCCTAAGGGGTGTGTTAAACACTAGTCATAAAACGGCAGTACAGGGAAAGGGGCAGTCGTCCCAAAGACTAGTCCACTAGCGGGGACCACGTTCTTCCTCTGTGACTATTGTTATTTTCCCCATGTGGTCTTCAACAGTTTTTGTAGAAAGAAAAACTTGTAATAAAAGTTACTATGCAATCGTTACAATTGTGTTTGCATTAAGTTCTTTGTTGAAGTAAGGTACAAGTGCTCTAAACCTTATTCTTATGCAGAAGTGCAGCTGGTTTGAAGGTGTTACTGGTAGGTCCAACTAGCTTGTTCTCTGTCTCTGTCTGTCTGTCTGTCTGTCTGTCTGTCTGTCTGTCTGTCTGTCTGTCTGTCTCCCACTCTCTCTCTCTCTCTCTCTCTCTCTCTCTCTCTGTTGTTTTTGTCTGTGCGGGTGGTGGGCAGGTGCTCTGGTGTGATTTGCTCATTTTTTCCCGATCAAACATCTATCGTCCTTATCTCCCCTCCTTCTTTTTTATGTTTGTTGCTCTCTTGTAACACCTCTAATCTTCTGGCGCTCATATGACCTTATGCAGTTGCGAGCGCCGTAAAACCTCTACAAAAATTAAACAAACCTAAGACACCACAGCAGCCACACCTGGTGAACCAGCATAATTTATATGGTGTAGAGTTTAGGCGGATCAATGAATGTTGCTCGCAGGAGACCTGAATTTGATTTCCCAGTCTGGAGAAATTTGTATCAAGAAGGCCTACAGGGTGATAAAAAAACTAGATCTACAACTCTACAACTGTTTTTCTAAACATTTCGCGCAAAATGCGTACTAGAATGTAATGATTTGGAACAGATAACTATTATTCATTCAAAAGGAATTTGTTTGACATAAAATTCACAACTCAGAAACTTATTTTCGAAAACGGAAATTGCTTTTATAAAAATCACCTATAGGCTAAAAATGCAAAATGCACCAATTTAAAAGATCTTGTTAGGAAAGTCAAGAATTGATTGGTTTGTTTTTTCCTTTCCCTTTCTTTTTTAAATCTAATCTTTCCATCCCTGTACTGTAACCTTTAAACAATGTTTCTTTCCTCCTACAGAGGTTTTTTTTTTCTTTAATATTCTAGAATTCTGAGAACCAATGGCCTAGTATAATAATAATATCCTCTTTTGGGCGCGTCGTTCGTAGTATTCAGTGATGGCCAAACACAAGGATCCACTCAACCATGAGTACTCAAAGCCACACACACTGTACACCTTACAGTATGCAGCTGTGTTCAGAAACTATAGGGGGGCGGGGGTATAAGGTATGAAGTTGCCCAAATAGACAGCATTTGTGGAGTTGGTATAGCCTGGAAGGTGAATATGGGCTTTGCCAAGGAACCAAACGGCCTAGCAGAATAAATGTCCACGCTTTTTTAGACGATGGAGGAATCATGAACACATTGCTATCCTCTGACAGCTTCGCGAAGTGGAAAGTGGTTCAGCCGTAGATGAAGATCTGCCTTAAGAATGCGGACCTTTGAGATGTAGGAAAGTCATTGCTGCAGACATCGTCTACGGACAGACATCTCATGGGGCTCATCTTCTACACTCTGCACCCTGATGACGCTTAAAGGGGTGTGAATGGTGTGTGTTTGACATGAAGTGGTCGTTTTATCTGGGAATTTTTTGTTCTGATTTTCTACAGACCTTAATTGATGAACCATTTTCACCCTTGACATCAAAGAAGGCCTTAAGGGCACTTTAACATTATTCCTCGCCTTGTGCGAAACATAGGAAAACAGTTGGTGGTGAGGAAATGTTCAATACAAAAAACTCTCTGCTCTTTACTAACTAATCGTAATCATGATCTCTGCAGGCAAAGGAAACTTGAGAAAAACTACAATGTATGCAAACTTCTGTTGGCCTGGTAGACTACAGTAGTTTGCAAATATGGTGCAATCGTTGGAATTTTTAGTGGTA